CTTTAAAATTGTAAAAAAAAAATCATAAATCATTTGATTTGGTATTTTCGGAGAGCTTCATTAATTTAAAAGTGTAAAATAAATAAATAAAAAAAGTACAATTGAAAAAGTTACAAACAATTGTATGGAGAATTAAACTAAATCCAATTTTGTAGGATGCATTAAATGTTGATTAGATTTTATATGTAAAATAAAATAAAAAATAAGTGGAATAGTTTTACGCGTTGCAATATTTTATATTTAAAAAAAATTAAAAAAATCTTCTTTTACGTGTTGCATACCAACATCTAGGAACTACATGGATATTTCTAATTGCATACCCAATATTATGAACTAATTAAATGCTAATTTGATTTGCATACCCAAAATATTAGATGCATTAATTAAATACTACCTCCTATTCTTTTTAAATGTCCTTTTGGCATTATCAATTATTAACAAAATAAATGTCATTTTGAATATTTTGTACATATTTTTCCATTATTACCCTCATCTAACTAATAAATATATACGTCTTTTCATATTCACTCTTCATCTTTTCTCAAAACATTCATCTCTATCCTCATTAATGAGGGTTATTATTGACAAAAAAATATTCTTAATAACTGTGCAATTTCCCAAAACGACACTTATTATGAATAGGAGGGAGTATTTGATAAAATTAGAAATTCATTAATTAAATTTGACTTTTTTTAACTACTATATTTAGTAAATAAGACACCTGGTTTTGCTCACCTGCCCACGGTGGGCAGTGCCCACCACATTTTTTTACATGAGAATACGTTTTTCAATTAATTTAATTGAAATGTAAAAAAAAGTGGTGGGCACTGCCTACCGTGGGCAGGTGAGCGGGACTGATAAGACCCTCTTTAATATAAGTATAGATTTCGTATATTAAATAAAGACAATTCTACGGTCTCGTTAGAGAACTATTCTGTCAGAGTTTGTAACCGATAGATCATCATATAATCGTCAGGCATAGTTGATCTCACCATTACAAATCTCAACGAAAAAGTTCCGTTCAGAAAAGTTCCGTAGAACCTTTGTGGGGACAGTAGCATCTCCATAAATATATATGCAAATAATTTCTTTCATTTGGACAAAGAGAATCTACAACAAACAACATACTTACACTCTTTCATTATCTCTCACAATTAGCCCCACACAGCACACAGTTTCTATGTTCTAAAACACACAGTCTCTCACTCTGCACACAGATTCAAAAACCAAACCCATAAAAAAATTGAAAAAAAAAAATCTTATATTAATAACCGAAACCCGCACGCACCAAAAACACGCGCACCAAGTCTGAGGATGTTTTCGATTATGCGGAGCAAGAAAAGGGGTTCGATTCATCCCAGTTCGTCGTGTACAAGATCCGATGATGAAGGGCTTAGATTAATCCTCAGACAACGAATATCGAATAATATTTTGGTTAATAAGCCCGTTTTGTTGCACGATCAAACTTCGAAGCCTGCTTGTGATCAGTTAAATTATTGCTATCTCAAATCGTGTCATCTTTGCCGCAAGCCTTTGAGTATGAATAAAGAAATTTATATGTACAGGTGGGCTTATTTTTTGAATTTTTCAAATCGATGGCCAATAAGTATTTTTTTTTTTATTTTTTTTGTGTGTGGATGAAAAAAAAAAAAGTTGCTATTTTTTTTTTTAAAAAAAATAGTTCTTAAATTTTGTGGAAATTGCAGTGATTTGGGATGTTGCAGCGTGGAATGCAGAGAGAGGCAAATTTATCTGGACGAGACGGAAGAGATTGAGATGTCAGCCCAGATGATATTGTCAACTTTACGGCAGCGTAGCCGGCCCGACGGCGGCGGAGGACGGTGCGAGACCCGCCGGATCTTGGAGGATTTACGGATGCGCCGCGGCGCTTTTACGGAGCAGGAGAGTCCGGTTATTTTCTTGTAGAGCAAGCAGGAATTATTTTTTTTTTTAACTAATATTTTTCTATGTTTCTTTCCTTTCACTTTCTTTTTGTTTTGAGGACCCATTGTTTTGGGTTTGTGAGTTTTGGGGGCCTTTAATTTTTTTTTTTTTATTTGTTTGTTGCATTTGTTACATTTACAACGTACAAACTTCTTTATATATTCGAAACAGTGTTTTAAAACGTGCGTTTTGGTTTTTATATTGCGTAGCGTAAATAACGTAATCTATTCGAGCAATTCACTTTTAATGCTAAAAATAATAATAATATAATAGTCTTAAACTATAAATATGGAAAGCCAACAGCATCCAGCACAACAATACAACACCCAGACTTCCCAACGACCGTTCTTGTGTGTGTATGTGTGTGTGTTTTTTTTTTTTTTTTTTTTTTTNNNTGTGAGGCATGTTCCACCATCGCCGATTTTAAGAGGTATCAGACGAGGCTCTTGATGACGATATGAGGTGTGATGGTGGGCACACCTTAATGTAACTGTTGACATTGATTGATGATCTCGAGAGGTTGACGTGACTCATTGAGATTTCCCATATCAGGCCTCCATCCCTCGTCCTAGCCCAGGATGGTTTCATAAACGGTCAAAATCAAGAACAATATCGACCGCCCAGATAGGTAGGTCGATCATTGGGTCGAATGTCTTACAATCTAAAGGTGAAACTATGAAGAATTTGCAACGGGAAAACCTTCATAGAGCCACCTTTAGATCGCTCGACTACTCTATAGTCATTGTTATTTTTGGACCGCTTGCTCTGCATCCACGATGTTCTTGTTGAGGGTGAGTAAATCAATCTTTATTCTTGTTTAAGGTGAGCTAATATAGAAATCGCGAGAAAGTTTGAAATTTATTTCATGCATTATAACGGGGTGAGATGATGTAAAATAACACTTTTTTGAGAGGCTTCTTTGCGGTTTTGTTTAGATTGAGTAATTAGAGAAGAGGGATCATTTGGAGGTTAGTTGTGCCGCTCTTCTATTTGGATAGAGGAACTGCTGGGATCTCATTATGTACAAATTACGAATTCAATAGCAAACATAAACCTATGCGCAGCGGATCTAAAGGTTTGACGTAGAAAACTTACGGCTTAAAATTTATGGCGATCTGGCTGAACTGGATTGACCGGGATGAACACACGAACAAAACTGGATCACACTTTCTGGAGCTGGTCGGCCGTGTCGCGTTGTCGGGCTGGTCGGCGTCAGGTCGCGGAGGTCCGTCGTCTTCTCGGCTCCGCGGCAGTTGGCGATCCTCGGCTTCAGGTCGTGGATCGTTGACTCGGTTGATCTCCGGGGTTAATAAATATATGTATCTCAATTACCACGGGATCTTCTACTGTATATCTCAAAACACCTATTCAATTGTACCAGTGGAGCAACAAAAAGAAGATAAATCTCGAATGAGAAATGAGAGAGAGAGAGAGAGAGAGAGA